ATTCTATGAATAAAATAAATTCAGTTTCTATTATAAGTAGAAAAAACTTACACTAATTGTAACTAAAGAACCGTATTAAAAGAATGCAGCCCAGCCCAAAATGGACGCTGGGCCCTTAGGAATGTGGCCCAGCCCAAAGTTCGTGCTGGGCCATTTCTGGTAACCCTAGATAACCATCTAAAGCTGGAAGCAGCTCTAAATGTATATACTAATTCTACAAATATATTTTTAAATCTTATAAAGAAGATTGTATCACGTATAAGGCTCCCAAATGTGATCTGAGTTTGAACTGTGTTAAGTTTAAAGCCGAAACCGCAGTCTGAGAAACGGGAACAATGGATTCCTAGAGTCAGCCATGCCTGTCATATTCTCAGAACTTCATGCTTAGATCGCCGAAATCCCTGCCAGTGGGTAATGCTAAACAACAAAGAAAGGAGGAGGGATTGGGCCCTCAGCTCCTGAACCAGCCTGGTGGTCTCAAGGTCCGCAGCCTGCCTGGATCCCTAACGCTCAGGCAGGCCTCCATGGCTGACTCCCAACAGAGGTGGAAGGATTGCCTGAGCCCAGCAGGTTGAGGCTGTGATGGTTATGAGCATGCCATTGCACCCCAACCTGGGTGACATATTGAGACTCCAACTCAAAAAACAAATTAGCTGGGCATGGTGGTGTGCACCTGTAGTTCCAGCTATTTGGAAGGCTGAGGTGGAAGACCACCTGACCCCAGCAGGTCAGGTTGGGTGTGGTGGCTGTGAGCATGCCACTGCACTCCAGCCTGGGCAACAGAGTGAGACTTCTACTCAAAAATAGAAAAATAGGCTGGACTTGGTGGCTCAGCCTGTAATCCCAGCACTTTGGGAGGCCGAGGCGAGTGGATTGCTTGAGTCCGCAGGTTCGACACCCGCCCGGGCAACTTGGCGAAACTTCGTCTCTACACTACGTCAAAAAGTAGCCAGGCATGGTAGAACAGACCTGTAGTTCAGGCTACTTGGAAGGCTGAGATGAAAGCTCGCAGGTCAAGGCTTCAGTGGCTGGGAGCATGCCACTGCACACCAGTCTGGGCGACAGAGTGAGACTCCAACTCAAAAAATTAAAATAATAATAATAAATAAATAACATAGACTTACTCAGATGAAGTCTTTTTTGTTACATACCCCCATATGCTTATGGAGAGAAACAATATTTTGGGAAGAAAACATGCTTATACAATATGCTCTTAGCCTTTCAGTTATCACCTGTGTTATACATTTGGTTTGTACTCTCAAAAGATGGGAAGTGAATACCACTCTATTGAAGTAAGTTCATGAAGCCAGTCTGAGAAAATAAGAATGAACTGGAATTCATGGGGCCTACTGTGACAGACAGCTTGGATTGTTCCTTTCTCCACTACCAACTGGACTTCTTCTATCTGTTTTAGGGGAAGTAGTTCTTTTAGAACTTGTCCTGGTCCCAAACTGAAAATGGTCCTAAAGTCGTAAAGTCTTCAGAATCTAGAACTTTTCTCAGATGCTTAGGTAATATAAATTTAACAAACAGCATGCTTAGGTAACTCCATGGTGGAATAACAAATCAGAGCACGTATGAAGTTTTTTTTGTTTTGTTTTGTTTGTTTTTTAAGGTTTTGTTTAAAGATTTGCAATTTTACTAGATTTTTTTTTTTTTTTGAGTTGGAGTCGCACCCTGTCGCCCAGGCTGGAGTGCAGAGGCACACTCAGGGCCACCACAGCCTCAACCTGCTGGGCTCAGGTGATCCTTCTACCTCAGCCTTCCAAGTTGCTGGAACTACAGGAGTGCTACCACATCTGGCTAATTTTTTGATTTATTGTAGAGATGAGTTCTTCCCAAGTTCCCCAGGCTGGTCTCAAACCTGTGGGCTCAGGCAATCCTCTCACCTTTGGCTTCCCAAAGTGCTGAGATTATAGGCATGAGCCACCACGACTGGCTGACAGTGCCTTATTTCACAAGGAACTTATTAAACAAATATCAGTTGAGCACCTAGATCCTAGTACATGCATAAGATCTATGGAAGTAACATTATCCACAATGGCATTTTGTGATAACTCCATGACACAAAGCCTTTTCCTTCATATACCTCAGGTAAAATGTTTTTTAGATTTTCATTCATAATACCTTGACTGTTCTCCAAACAACTAAATGGTTATGAGCATTTCTGTAGTAAATTTAGACAGGACTTCTAAAGGCTGTTGAAGTTATGCTGAAAATTTAAGGGGCTGCTGGGCGCTGTGGCTCATGCCTATAATACCAGCACTTTGGGAGGCCGAGGTGAGAGGATTGCCTGAGTCCGCGTGTTCGAGGCTGGCCTGGGCAACTTGGCAAGACCTCATCTTTACAATAAATAAAAACATTAGCTGGGTGTGGTAGCATGCGCCTGTAGTCCCGGCTACTTGGAAGGCTGAGGCGGAAGGATCGCCAGAGCCCAGCAGGTCGAGGCTGCGGTGGCAGGGAGCGTGCCACTGCCCTCCAGCCTGGGTGACAGAGTGAGATTCCAACTAAAAAAATAAATAAATAAAAAAACTGAAAGAGATTTGACTATAGGTAAAACAAAAATCTGGGTGGATAGACAAGAGAGGCATCAGGGAGAATCAGAAGACTAGTTGCGCTGGTAACCTACAGTAACCAGCACTAGTTGGGTTGCCTCAGACAAGGTAACTTCACCTTTCTGGGGCTCCATTTCTGGAGGGAGGGGATTGGAAAAGTCATCTCCAAAGACCTTCATTTCCTGAGAATCCTCCTGGAGCACATGCCCTACTGATGGGCCTCTGGGCAAAGCAGACCCTGTCCTCTGGATCTTGGGTTCCCTCCGCACGTGATGTCATTAGTGCCGCACCCGGAGTTCGCGCGCAGAAACTCAGCAGCGGGAGCCAGGCGGCGGCCGGCTACCGGAAGACGACAGGAATGGTCTGATCTACTCTGCCACTAACCCTTAGTTGCCGGGTTTGGACCGCGGCTCCCG